AAACGACCTTCTAGTAGGAGTAAAACATCGGTCGTCAACGCAGGAAATCATCTGGACACAAGACATAACGTTACAAACGACAGGTATGGTGGTCTGAAAGGACTCGCTCGTAGAGGTTTGTCTGTACATGTGTCTGTAGGGAACGGACCTAACGGAGGACGCATGTTGTTAGCTGCACGGACCCTCCACTGTTTGAGAACACTACGGCTTCTCATTGAACTACAATAATGGCGGCCAAAGACAGGTGGGATGGACGAAAGCTGTATGCAGGTGTTGTGCCAAAAAAAGCGATAGTCGCCCAGTTTATGGAGCACTGGATTCATCCGGGGCTGCAAGGTGTAGCGGTGCTCAGCGTCGTTGCCTCGCAGCAAGAAGGTCGCTGGTTCGCGTCCCGGTGAGGACACCCGAGATCTTTCTACGTGGAGTTTGCATGTTCTCCCCGTGCAGCGTGGGTTCTCTCCGGGTTCTCTGGCTTTCTCCCACGAGGTCCAAAAGCATATTGAGTTTAACTGGTGATTCTAAATTGTCTGTAGATGTGAGTGTGCTTGGTTGTCTGTCTCTAAGTGTAGCCCTGTGATAGACTGGTGACCTGTCCAGGGTGTCTCCTGCCTTCACCCTAAACGAGTTGGGATAGGCTTAGTTATTGATGAAAAAAAAATACTAGAGCACTTTATTAATGTTAGTGTTAACACTTCACGTAAATCAGTACAATTAACAGCATAGTTGTAGCTAAATAGACAAACAGTAGAATAAATAAACCTAGAATAAAGAGTGGTGAGATAACTATAAGTATCATATACTTTTTGCTCAGTTATAAACAATTTAGTGATGCTAATGTTACCAAATAGACATAAGCAATATCCACAAAAAGGATGACATTTCTGAGGGGCTGCACTGGAACACAACACTAATGTGAACAGGGAGACCAATAAAACAAAGAAAGGTAAGGAGCAACATAAACACTGTTACTCCAAGACTGCTCAACAGAACTACTACACGGTGGTCATCCTGTGTGTGATGTTCAAGTTACACATGTATGCATACTTACTACAGATTATATCATGTATCTAGTTCAGTCTCTCTTGGTGGCATTATTGATTAATACGGATTATAATTTGGTTGATGTTAAGCTTTCACTTGTTTATTGACACAACACTACTAAAAAGCATTTAGAACTAATTATTACAAATCAAATCACAATGTCTTTCAGAAAAATCACAGTGCACTATTGTTCCCAAGTCATTCTGCAGGAGTTAAAACTAGACTAACTTCTTTTGGACGTTTATCGTGAGGAGACCCCACGGTTGA